GCTCCAATGCCCTCCTAATCTCGGATTCTTCTGCGCTGCAGTCCATGGTGGAGATCCGAAAAAGCTTGCCTCCAGCGGTTAGGCTTGAACTTGCTGTCGTCGGAGAAGGCGCGCTGCATGCAGCTGAGCCGCAAGGTTCTTCAACTGAAGGAGGCGTGTTTTCTGTTTTCATGGCTTAATTAGAAACCCTGTAGCGACCTTAAGGTCAAGAGCTTAGAAATGTTTCCCTGTCAGCGGCATTGCCATTAACGTGAAGGACTAAGCCCATGAAGATTGGAGATCTGGCTAAATCTGCCCACACACAAACGGAGACCATTCGGTACTATGAGCGCGAAGGCCTGTTACCTCAGGCAAACCGAAGCGCTGCGAACTATCGCGTGTACGACGAAACTCACGTGAAGCGCCTGGCGTTTATAAGGCACTGTCGCTCACTGGACATGACTCTCGGCGAGATTCAGGCGCTCTTGCATTTCAAGGATTCACCAAAGGAAGACTGCGGTGAGGTTAACGCTCTGCTAGACGAGCATATTGACCATGTGGATATTCGCATACGTGAACTAAGGACGCTGCAAAAGGAATTGAAGGGCCTTCGCCTACAGTGTGCCAGCAAGACTACTGCAGATGGATGTGGCATTCTTTCCGGCTTGGAGGAAGCTGCGGTGAAGCAAAACCATAAACCTGCAACACAAAAAACACATCCCTTGCATGTTCATGGAACACATCATTCGGTTGGATCAACAGCCAAAAAGTAACAAGGCAAGGCTGAAGCGAATATCGCGATGAAGTTACGTCAACCAAACTCACCGCGTCGGGTGATAGTTTTCAACCGATTACAAACCCCTCAATTGATGTCCTAAAACAAAAAAAACGACACGGCCCGCCGTTGCCAACTAGCCTCAAAAATTCGAGGTTAGTTGGCAACAGCAAGTATCGTTTTCTGTAGGGATAGCTTCAGCAAAAGTGCTTCACAGCTCTTGCTCAGACCATTAAGTGACACTTCCACCTGCTCACCTTTATACCTTCACCGCCCCAGTAAAAAAGTTACGTACGCTATTTTGAAGAAGCTTGGTTGTATTGAATGCTTGAGCTTCTCGAAGCTTTAGCTAGGTTGTCAGCGCCCAAGCTCTTTTTTGCATATCAAAACCGCCTTCACTACGTTGTCCGTAAAATCTGGCGGTATTCTGCGCGACGACTGACCCATGGCTTTGAGTTCCTTGAAGGTATAGAACTTGAGCATCTTGTCATAGGTGCAATCGCAAGCGACCTTGTCAGTACCGCTCTGAATGCATCCAGCCAGATACTCGCCGCGAGCCTTGGACTCCTCACTCGAACAGGCTGCCAGAGCGGCCATGCCCAAGACAAGACCGACCCTCAAAACCGCATTGAACATCCGGTTCATCGCAGCACCAGAGCGCAGCCCAGCATCACGCCAATTACCAGACCGATGACCTGAGGCCCCACCTTCCAGAACACTTTGATCCAGATCAGGCTGAGCATGCCGCCACCCGTGAACACCGCATCAGGATGGGCA